AAAAACAAAAAAAAATAAAATAAAATAAATAAATAAATAAATAAATAAATAAATAAATAAATAATAATAATAATAATAATAATAATAATAATAATAATAAAAGCTCAAAAGTGGTTGGGAAAAAGTGAACCTAATAGTTACGTTCTGTTCTAACTTTCATGTTAAAGAGCGTGTGTGAGGAAATGGGAACGGGGAACCTCATCAGGTCGTGAATAGTAGTAACAGAAAGGGAAACGAAAGATATATTTTGCTAGCCAGGACACATACCAGCATAGTCGTCAACATCACTCCATCAACTATCATTTGTATTCAAGTTTCGAAATAGTCCTTAAGATGCTTGTTTAACTTAAATTCAAAACAAAGCATTAATGTTTCATTACTTCAAGCACATTACAAACCAGTGTTCATCAATACCAAACAATATTACTCAACCCATATCCCCAACCAAAAAAGGTGTTCCTAAACCCCATTGTTGTCTCTCTGCCATGAAGTTGGTGACTACTTGACCCAAGTAATCAGGAATACAAGTTCAAGTTTGGAACCCATACAAACCACTAATTTTGATGCAACTGAAGTTGCAAGAAGATTCGGAAAGTATTACAAACAAAGCAGAAATAGAAAATTCAAAGGCTGATATATAGTTATTTGGAAGGCTTCTTGTCTATGACTTATTAGTTTATCCGGTGAGGTATGCTACAAATACTCCACCAAAAAGTCAAGATCAAGATAGCAAAACTCCATTAGAGTTACGCAAATATCACTGGTTAGCCTCATTGAACTTTTCACCTAAAGTATACCACAGCCTCTGGGGTGGCCATACTGGCTTAAAACACCTTTTGTGCCTATGCCACTCAAAAGACCTTAGAAAGGTAAGAGTGTCTCAGAACATGAGCCTTGGTCATTTTTTGCTTAATTTTTAAGAAGGCGCAATGGGTTGGCAAACTCTCGATTCTTGATTAACTCAAGCATTGATGGTACTAAAATCCTTAGTAAATCTCCCATAAAATGAGGGTAAACCATAAAAACTATGGGCTCCGGTCAAATCTTAACCTTTTTAGGATTAGTAGGAAATTCCTTCTAAGCTATACGGGTATAAAAATCCACCTGAGGTAATCTAAACTAAATGTTCTTCCTTCAATCTTACTATAAATAAGAAAAAATCAAATTTTCAAAAAGCGATCCCAAAAAAAATTACCCATAGAAAAAAAATTCAGAATAACTCTAATACGAAACGACAGAATGATAATTACTTAATAGATATATACACGATAGATAGGCAGAATTACCTCATCATCACCGTCAGGTTTCTTCTGGAACCAATTAATATTCAAAACCTAAATCCCACCAAAATTACATCAAATAACTACAAAATTCTCCAACCAAAACAGAAGCACAGATCTAGATATTTATTAACCATAATATATAAAAATAAATAAATAAGAAAACTCGTGTCTGTGTCGGCAGCGAAGTATACTTGAACTTCAGCGGTGGGAGAAGGCGAATTGAAGTTGTCGGAGAGAGAGGCCATGGCGCACATCAGCGCCAGAATTGTGACGGCGAACGTCAGTAAAGCGTTGGCTCTGTACACGAAAGAGTGCATTTCTTTCCTCCTCAATTCTCTTTTTCTCACACTTTTTACCAAATAGCAATGGTTAATCGAATCGAATCGTGTCGAATCGAATCAATCGATCGCAAAGATAGTTGAATCAGAGAGGTTTTGATTTTATTTTTTTATATAGGGCTACTGGGGAGAAGACTGACATGGAATCGGGATTACGGGGATGACGTCACTTCCCTTTTGTGCGTTTTCTTATTCAATCGCGTCACATGTACCCGCTGCTTTACACGGAGGTTTACAATGTGAGGTGGCAATCTAATGAAATTCAAATTTTAAAATCCTGTGAGGCTGGGTCACGACTTGAACCGGCCCAATTAGAAAGCCCGTGAGATTGGATCACGCATTAATCATTTCATTTCCTTGCTTTCAGTTTCCCCCAAATGAGAGAAAACCCTTGAGACGACAACGTAATTTCTCCCGCCAAGCACTCCGCCATCGTCACCGGATTAAGAAGCAGGTGGAAATTTCTCATTTTAAACAACATACATCGCCCCGCGCACCAACCTTTCATATTCGCTGTCTCCCGAATCAAAGAAAACGATTGGAGGCGAAAACATAATGTGAAGTACAGCACTCCTCCATCTCGACCGGAGTAAGAAGCCGGTGAAAATTTGTTCTCTTAAATACTATCTATCTCGCAGCAAACATTATGTAAGCATGTTGTAATTGGTATCCATTTTCGTTGAATTTACTGTTGTCGAATAATACATAGTTCTTAAGAATTTACATCGGTTTGTAGTTGTTGTGTACTCTAGCGTAATGTGTCATTTCGTCTTGTGCAGTATGCTAGGGAAGAACTCCGGCGTATGTCATAGTTGTCACGAGAAGGGTCGCTTCTTTACTGATTGCTTGAAAAAAGGGCACCGCCCTTGGTGTAAAATCGGCTTTGTGAAGTGCTTTGAGGTGGAGAAGGAGAAGAATCTGGGAAGAATCTGTAATGACAGTAATGTCATGTGGAGCTGGTGTAGCTGGTGTTAATTCACTACTTGCATCTCAGTTGTGTTAATGTGAATGAAAACATTTTGCTGTTTCCAATTCACCAAAAATTGTATTGATGCTAACATTTAGATTTATCCATTTCATAAATTGCAAGATGTACATGAAGGGAAAAAAATGCATAATTTCATAAACTGCAAGAGAGCTACAAAATGCATCCATTGTAACTTCATTACCTATTACACTTCAATAGCCTGATTGACCTGGCCAGTTCGACTTGGAAAACCAAAATGCGAAAATTGTATTCAAAACATTGACAACATTGTCATGCATTTGTTTACAAGATGCTTGGGCTCTGATAGAATGACATCATCCACCTCCTTCGAATTTGCCTTGCCTGCAGTAAAAAAAACCAATTGCAAGGTTAATTCCCTCTTTCTCCATACTCGATAAATTCTTAACAGAGGCTTGGACAAGGCTATATTTATCATTTTAGTCAAAAGATGGGCATTAACATCTTCTGTGAAACAGAGGCTTGAACAACGAATAATTATTATCATTTTAGTCGAAAGGGCATTAACATCTTCTGTGAAACAATTAATTTTATCACCCTTGAAGCATTTCCAAAGAGAATCAATGACAGCATGGCTACATTAGTAGGTAACTTGCATTTAAACAATATTATACTCAATTCCCTCTTCCTCACAGTTCAATAAAATTGAAAAATGAGTTGAACATTTTTCACAGAACAATTGGGTAAAAAATGAGGTGACAAGAAATCCATCAAATGATATACCTTTTTCCGTCATTTGGTCGCATCATCGAAGCCGGCGATAGCTTCAAGCAGGAACAACTCTTGCTAACACAGTTGAATGTATGAAGACGGCGACTGCTTCGAGTCGGAACACCTCTTCCCTAAACCTCTTTATCAGGCTCGTTAATCACATAAACCAATTTGGAGGAAACTGAAAGCAAAGAGCCTTAAATCTGAAATACATGCTTCTGGGCGATAGATTCAATATTTGGTGCCGATTTGCGTGTTTTTGCGAGCTTCCATCTAGGTTTTCATCTATTCTCATGAGTAATTGCGTATTTGGTCCAATTGCCTGCCTTTTTCTCCGTTCTTCTCTTATTGCCCTCTTTTTCCTCCGTCTTTCTTTGAAATTTGTCTTTCCTTTTCACGACTTTTTTTTGAAAAGTTGTCTTTCCACGTCACAGTGTAATCCAACGGGTAAGCACAAAGGTACCAATAGCAAAATCCTTTCTTATTTTCGTGAATCGAGCTACAAAAAAATGCGCATTTTTTTAGCTACTTGGCCTCTATGCCCAAACCGTTATATCATATGTATTGTTCGCTTTAGGTGGATAGCTGCCTACTTACCCTCATGAATTTCTACTGTGTCCTATAGGATTCGAACCCAAGATCATTGCCTAATGAGGGACTTAACATATTGGATTCGAATCATGGAGGACACAATAGAATTCCATGAGGGGGTAAAGGGTCAAATTCCCTCCTAAAGCGGACATTATGTATGTTATAACGGCTTGAGCAAAATGTTCGAGTCGTTACAAAGATGGTAAACTCTTATTTGAATTATCCAAGTATCACTGGTTGAGTTATGCTACACTGTCGGGATGTGCTAGGGGGCCAGCTAGCCCCCCAATTTTGCAAGGGCCTATGTGGAAATTACATAGAACCAATTTTTTTTAAATTACCATTTCAAAAATCAGATTCAATGTTTGTTTATACAAAAATCAAATAATAATTCAATATTATAAAATTTAAATTAATATATATACCCACCATACCTCCATCCACCCCTACCAAATTTTCATCCTAAACCCTATTTACTTTCCTTCTTCTTTTTCTCTCTATATCTTTACATTCATTATCTCTCTATATACCTCTTTACCAACCCCATCAGAGACACCATCGGAGCGTGCGGTGGAATGCATGGCAACAAACCCTTGATCCCCGTCTCCCAACGGCGATAGTCACCGTATCGCCACTGCACATCACGGTGGCATCGTCACAAATGAGCATAAGTCGCTCATCACTGTCATTTGAATCAGAGGCAGATCGAAATTTCCTCCACATTTTCCTATCATCGTTCATTAGAGGTCTTCCAACCACCGGCTTTGTTTCTCTCTTCTTTTGATTTTGTGGTGGCGGGAGTTTTTGAGTGGATTTACGGTGTTTTGAGGTGTAAGTGCAGGTGGAGGTGAAGGTGGCTTATTTAGGAAATTTGTTGTTGGTAGTGGCGATTGTGGTGTATTGAGGTTGAGGTGTAGGTATAGGTAGTAATGGATTGTTTGGGTATTTTTTTTGTTGGTGGAGGTGTAGGTGGAGGGGGTGGTGGTTGGTACATGCGTCGTTGATGTAGTTAGTGGTTATGATGGTCACGATGGTGCAGGCGATGTTGTTGGCAGTAGGGTTGTAAATGGATCGGATATGGATCGAATTTGCTTATATCCAATCCGATCCGATAAGAAAATTATCCGATCCGATCCAATAATCAAACGGATATTTGATTGTTAAATCCATATCCGATTTGCTATGTTATCAGATATCCGATCTGAAATTAATAAAATTAGGAAAAAAATCAATGTTCTTTAAATTTTTTTGAACTAACTAGAGGTCCACATGTTTTTACTAGCAAGCCCAATAGTAACTTCTACCATCATAATACTCATTTTTAAAGGAGAGAGATCTTCTAATTTTCTATTAACATTCGATGTGGGATAATGTAAAATTGAATTTCAATCATAAATATAAATATTTTATTTCATTATTTCCATTAACAAATTAAAATATTTGTTACATATTAATTATTAGTTTTTGAAATTGTAAAATAAATTACAATGATAAATTTAATTAAAAAAATATAAATATTTATTTACTTTAAATTAGTAAGCTAAATTTAAAAAAAATCTATTATTTTTATAATATTTTACATTTATTTGTATAGTTATTTATTCAATTTGACAATCGGTTCGATATTGATTCAATCATAATTTGACTTCTTGACCATTGACCATCTTCATTTTCCGAGTCAATGCCCAGTCGATTTTTAAAATATTGGTTGAAATCAACTTTTTTTCTTCAAGTTTTCCAATTCTTAAACATATTTAATAATTATAAATTTTTCAATTTTTTATGTTTTGAATTTGATTACTTTTTTATTATAAATTTATTTATTTTCTCATTTATTTATTTTAGTGACAAATAATATGCCATAAAAATATTTTACTGATTCAATTGTTTATAACAAATCGGATTGGATTGTTATTGGATCGGATTGACATATATCCATATTTGATCTATTTAGTTAACGGATTATCGGATTCGGATTTTGATCGGATTATCGGATTGAGACCTTAAATCCATCTCCCATTAATTTCGTCGGATTCAGATCAAAATCCAATCCATTAACAGCCCTAGTTGGCAGTGGTAGTGCAGCGATCATTGTGGTATTTGGTGGTAGTGTTTGTTGTTATCGTCGTCGTTACAGTAGTGGTGGTTGTCACAAATTGTTTTGTTGATTGTTACTAATAAATTGGTTAATATATGACCAGTTACCAATTAAATAGATAATTTGTGACTAATAAATAATATGTGACCTAAAAATTTGTTAAGTTATGACCAATAATTTGATAATTTTTTTACCTAAAAATAATTTGTGATCAATTAATTTGATATTTTGTGATCATGAAATAAGTTGTGGCTTATAAATGTTTAGATTTGTGACCAAAAAATAATATGTGACCAATTAATTTATTTAATTTGTGACTAATAAATAAATTGTAACTTATAAAATTTGTGATTTATGACTGTGATGTCTGTAATTTTGACTAATACATAACTACAATCATAAATTATATTTGTGACATAAATATATTTAATTAATAAAATAATTTTAATTAATTATTTAAAAAATAAAATTTAATTAATAGTCTCATAGTCTACGGTCTAAACACATTGCCTGGTAAATCACTTGTCACTTCAAAGACCTTAGTGAGGTCAATGTATCTCAGAACAGGAGCCT